TCTACTTTGTTATTTATCCATTTTCCTTGTCGAAGATTGTCAAAATTTGCCTAAAATTACTGAAAACATTCTTTTTAAAGATCCAAATCCACATCAGTTTTAAAGATCGATGTCTCCTCTTTAAACTGGCTGTACGAATTTCATTGAACTCTTAAAATTCGTAGAATTGAACGTTTAAAATTTCTTGAATTTTTGTCATTCAACCGCAGTGTTTAAAATTCAATGAAACAACGAAGAAAAATCGTAGAGAAAATTTTGAGGGTTTGTTCTTCGAAACGATGGTAAATTTAGTGACAAACAAAATTTTTCGATATTTCCAGAAATTTGAATTTTCTGAATAAATTTTCGATAATGAAAATATCTTCGCTTGAAAAAGATCTCTGAAATTAGTGAACTGTGAAAGTAATGGCCACATTTTAAAATAAGACTATTGTTACGATTTTTTCTTGAAGTTACAACAATTTTTATTCATTGTTATTCATTCAATTATGCTCCTTACCATGTAGCTAGTGATATTTCAGAATGATATAACATTCAGTTAGTCTCATTTTAGACCAGTAAGTCCAACATTTTCATCCACAAAAGTATCGACAATTTTCATTCGTTCATTTATTATATTTCTGAAATATAAATATATAATAAATATATTTATTATATAATGTAATTTAATATAATAAATAAATTTATTATATAATGTAATTTAATATAATAAATAAATTTAATATATAATATATAATTTAATATAAATTTTAATATATAATATATAATATAATATATTAATATAATAAATAAATTAAATATATGATATAATATGTTAATATAATAACTAAATTAAATATATGATATAATATGTTAATATAATAACTAAATTTAATATATAATGTAATTTAATATAATAAATAAATTTATTATATAATGTAATTTAATATAATAAATAAATTTAATATATAATATATAATTTAATATAATAAATAAATTTAATATATAATAAATATATTTATTACATTTCTTCGCTATACTTTAGACTACCAACAAGTCGAACATCTTTATCGTTCGGAAGGCGAACTTTTTATTTCTGGCAGAAGTTCAACCAGGAAGTCCTTGGAATCGAACACCGCGTGCATAATTCACTCGCGACTCTCGCCTTTCGCCAGGTTTCTGTCGCGTCGCGAGCAAGAATTTCGTAAAATTCGAATTTTACACGCGTTACGTGGCATGACAATCGGGCCTCGTTCCGCTTATCGCCGGACTTATCGCTGAACCGTACATACACGTGTCGATACTCGCAGTCGATAGAGCACAAGCATGAAAGACCCGAACGATGTGACGTTGTCGACGTCGATTTCGTCAACGGTGACGATTTTACGCCCCGACGCTTTGCATCGATTTCCCAATCGGAGGTGACGGAAGTTGTCATCGCCTCTGGAACAGAACGTTCTCGCTGTTAATATTCTGATAATCCGGCTTGAAACAATCGACTTTTTGTGGATTTTTCTTTAAGGAAACCATGATACATTTTGGTTTCGCAATTTTTGCATAGATTTATTCATACTTGAAGAGTATTTACAATTTTTTTTTTAACGAAATTAATGTACGTTGCGAAAATTATATAGCCTTAGGTAAAGCATGTTTTTTTAAAAACGGATTCGAACGGCTGACGTGATTCCGGTCCACCTGGTTATTTGAAACTAAAAAACCAAAATGCATCTTCGTTAGTATAAATATGGCTATCGCATGAACCACGGAAACAGTGAAATTTCGAAAATTAAAAAAATGGCAACAGTTTGTATTTTAAATCGATTTTCCTTGTGCTTTTTGTCTTTTGGGTGATAAAAAAAAAAAATAAAAAAAAACATTAGATTTTGAAATCCGTGGTTGATGCGATAAAGGTACATCCGGTGAAGATCTGCTCCAAATTTCAAGTCAATTAAAACGTGAGATATTTCGTCAGCTAGTTCAAAAAGTATGGATTTGAGAAAAACACGTTTGACATTTCTGTTATCCATTGTACAAAAATATTTATACTTACGATCAATCGAACAGTACAAAAAAAATATAAAATATTAATAATAATATTATAAATATATTAATATAATATTATAATATTATAATATAAATATAAAATAATATTATAACTATATTAATATAATATTATAATATTATAAATTATAAATATATTAATATAATATAATATTATAAATATATAAATTAATTAATAATAATATTATAAATATATTAATATAATATAATATAATATTATAAATTATAAATATATTAATATAATATTATAATATTATAAATATATAAATTAATTAATAATAATATATAAATAAATTATAATATGAAATAAAATATCTTTTGAGAAAAACGTTGAAGCTTTTGTTACATTCATATTTACGTTGCGAGCAGTACACTGTTCCCTTTAAACATCTATCACTTTGCTAAGTTTACGAATTCAAACAAATCCTTTTACATAGACATTTTCGAAAACATATACTTCAAAAAAATGTAAAAAAGAAAATTGATTTTTTTAAGCCGGATTACCAGAATACCCCCTTAATTCGAGTATAGCCACGCATAGTAGTCGAGGTATTTTCAGAGAGAATGAAAGATAAATACCACACGGAGCACGAGTCTCGATCAGTCTCGATCATTGGCCACGTTTATTAACAAAAGCAGGATACGAATATCGAATGACTATTGGGAACCGAACGTGGGAAACACACAGTGTATTTCAATTAATCGAATTGCGTAATTGTGCCTCGGTAATTAATGGACCGTGGATGCGTACGCAGATGTCGTGTCTACGCGCATGGAAAATTGATAATTGTTCCGAATATTTAAATATTCGCCTCGGTGAACAGTCCCAGTTTGTAAATAGTAGATAAAAGAATACTTGGAGATTTAATTTAATTTAATTTCATGAAAGTTCAACGATCAGTTTCGTGGTTTGCTACCGCTTTTACACATTCGGTCGTAACTCTTGCGAGCGCAATCTCGAACGTTTCAGAAGTGACTCGTTTCGAGTGGATGTGTAAGCTAAGGAACGTTCCATTTCTGTGTAAAATAATTGTCATGCAGCACACACGTTTATAGAAATGTTTTCAATTATTTTTGTACGTACCATGTCGCAACAGTCGAACGTTGTTTGTATGTACGTCAAATGAAATGAGAAATTCGTGTAGTATTCATTTGCATTCATTTAACAAATTCGTTCGATGTATTTGTTCAACAAGGTTCGTCCAATGAATTTGCTCGAAAAGATTTATTCAATAAATTCATTCGATTAATTTGTCGGACAAGTTTGTTCAATAACAAATTCATCCATCAAATTTATTCTACAAACTCGTACGACGTTTATGCACGTTCGAATGAAATTCGAACACGGAAGGAAGAGCCGTCCGTTTTTTAAGAAATAAATTCGACTCCTCTCGTTGAATAGATAAAATAATAGAAAACAGCGAATTTGAAGTATCGAGACCATGACAATATTACCTAATCTAACCTAATAGAAATCTTTTTTTTTTTCGTTTCTTCTTTTTTATACGTGTAGAAAATCTTCGAAAGACACCTAGGATCCTCTGAGGAGAGATGATATACCGACTACAACCTCTATTTGAAGAGCATTTATGTATGCGTATTAACCTCTTGCACTGGAATAACGTGCCACGCACGTCGATAATTTTTTGTCCCAAAATTGCAATATTTTCTCAGTTTTAAGCATACTTAAGTATAACCCAGGCAAAACAAATGATAAATTTATTATTTGCTTCTCAGTAATTTCTATTCAGTGATATCGATACCGACGAGTTCAAAAAGAAAGCGACGATTCCTTGTATACGGGTTTGGTCACTCGTCATGGTCCGCAATCAGTTGCCAGCGTTTAAATGTCGAAACTCGTAAAATCCTAAAAAAATAAATGAGTCATTAAGTCATCAATACCACTTATCAACAGGATATGTCATTATCTTCCTACTCGGTCATCGAGTCGAGCTCACCGAGAGTCGGTAGCGCAAAACCTAATAGGTTTTAATCTCTTGTGCTGGAATTTTTCTTTTGCGTCGAGAATCTTTTGTCCCAAAATTGTAATATTTCAAGTATATTTAAATATGTAACCCAATCAAAACAAGTAACAAATTTATTATTTCTTAATAATTTCTATCTATAGTGATATCATACCGACGAGTTGAAAAAGAAAGCGACGATTTACTGTGTACGGTTTGGTCACTCGTTATGGTCCGCAATCAGTTACCAGCGCAAGTGGTTAATCTCGGGAATTTTTTGGCCGAAAATTGCAATATTTTCTCAGTTTTAAGCATATTTAAGTATAACCCAGGTAAAACAAGTAATAAATTTATTACTTCTCAATAATTTCTGTCTATCTACAGCGATATCATACCGACAAGTTCAAAAAGAAAGCGACGATTTATTGTATACGGGTTTGGTCACTCGTCATGGTCCGCAATCAGTTGCCAGTGTCGAAACTCGTAAAATCCTACAAAAATAAATGAGTCATTAAGTCATCAATACTACTTATCAACAGGATATGTCATTATCCTCCTCGAGTCGAGCTCACCGAGAGTCGGTAGCGCATTTTTAACCTAATAGGCTTTAACCTCTTGCGCTGGAATTCTTTTGCGTCGAGAATCTTTTGTCCCAAAATTGCAATATTTCAAGTATATTTAAATATGTAACCCAGTCAAAACAATAAATTTATTATTTCTTAAACAATAAATTTATTATTTCCTAATAATTCCTATCTATAGTGATGTTATACCGACGAGTTGAAAGAGAAAGCGACGAATTACCGTGTACCGGTTGGTCACTCGTTATGGTCCGCAAATCAATCGCCAGCGCAAGTGGTCAAAGAAGCTCCGAACTGAGAATGAGACTAAACTCCGATGAACCTAAATCTAACCTAGCCTAAACGTGACCCATGTTAAATTGTAAAATATAATTCTGAACGAATTGAATTAATCTGGATTTTCTTTTGCTTGCAGAACAAGATCACCCAGAACCCTACCATACAGTTCCTAGGAAACGAAGGGGTAAGTGAAAAATCACTTTATTTGCAAGTATTCGCAAATATGTCAATTCTAGCCGCGATAAATACGCGACGGATTACGAATCTGTCGGCTATTTACCGATCAGTCACATAAATCAACCGTAAAACCGTCTGCTTCTGTCGTCTGAAACGTCGACAAAAACAACGTTTTATCCAACGCGACACATGCTAATAAATATCGCCTACTCGTTTTCAGAACGATTGTCTTCTCGGTCATTTGTGTTCTTGATTTATCGTGTTCGGTATTGCAAATGAAACTGATAAATTGATCTCGCAATAATCAATGTTCATTATGATAGGTGCTCGTGTTATTTTGGGGGGGAGGAGGTTTTAATTAGTATTTGCGGATTGAAAAGTTAATTTAAAAGTTACTATTTCGCGTGTACTAATTATTATTGTTGAATTGCAAAGTTCGAAATCTCTGGAAGGAATTGAGATTCGTATGAATGTGTTCTCTTCAAAATTTTTGTAGGAATTTTTGTCAGTCTGATTTCCTCTGTCTGAGCAATTTTCGACGAAATTTTTTTGGATGTGATTTTTTTAAACTTGTAATCAGTAGGCTACGAAAATTTACATAAATATGTTAAAGCTTAGATAATTAAATATTGCGAAGAATGTTTCTATCAATGTATCTATAGAAGTTAAATAGAGTATTACTTCATTCAGTAATGAATGTAATATTTTGAGCGTTTTATATTTTCTTGCCATCTTTAATCACTTTAATTGAGCCATTTGTTATTTAAAAATATGTCAAAAGTTGCTAATTGTGCAGTGTAATAAGACTTTTTGTGTCTTTCTCTTGAAACACGAATTTTAAGAAAACTGCAATAACAGTGACATTCGCACGTATTATACATTACATATCATTATATTTGTTTTATTAAAAAAATTCTCTTTTTGATTGATTAATTATTACTGCGTAATTCTCTCAATTTTTCTTTGAAACATTTCTTCATACAAGCTGTTCAATTCCGTGAATTTAGAAACACTGAAGAATCATTATCTATTATTATTTTAAAATTTACGAATATCTAGTCGTTCTTTCTTCCGATTTAAAAACACGGAAGACAATTACTTAATCTTTGAGTGTACATTCGTGGTGTAAAATTATAGTTTCAATTTGAAAAAAAAAGACAAGAGACATTAAAGCCTTATGAAATACGAATCTGAATTTTCATTTTTTCAATTTTAATTCTTCAAACTGAAGAGTAATAAATACAAATATATATATTTTGCGATAACGAATATAATATTTATCGAAGACTATAAAAAGAAAATCGCAATACCAGCTATTATTTTAAAATTTACGTACACTCGTAAATAAATTTATAAAGGCGAGCTCACTATAATACTTGCCTAATTAAATTCACAAAAACTTATCAGAAATAAAGTTGATCAGCTTGGTTTTCGAGGAGCTCGCGTAACAAACAAATTTCGACTGATTCAAACTGGTAGAATACGGTCGTAAACCGACTCACTCCAAGTATTATACTTATCCATTTTGCATTTTCTTGTCGCCGAATTCCCACACAAATGCGTAAAAAATTCTCTGCCGATAAATAATCGCTTTAAACTGTCTTCTTTCTTTTCTTTTCTTTTTTTTTTTTTTTTTTTTCAAAATGCAAAAATTCGCGAGATTTTTCAGGACCGCAAGTAATCCTTCCGAGAAACGACTTGCGGAAAAATGAAAAGGAAGAATCGTCGCGTCCGTGTGATCGCGTTCGCGATTAAAAAAGATCGTCCAGCTGCGCAACATGTGAACCTCCACGCGAACAGTTTCGTTCAGTAGTCGGGCATTTTCTCGGAAAGATTTCCCGCCTCGGTGTTCGTTGAATCTCACCGCGGTGATGTCTTGGCGATTCGTTCCGAATGCTTTGCAATTCGTCGCGCGTGTTGCTAGAAATTATTACGAGACGTTAGAGTAGGCGAGGCAAGAATAGGAGTCGAGATTTCGTTATACAAGACGTATGCATTCCGTGGTTGACGTCGTTTTATTATTTTTATTATTTTCTTTTATTTATTTTTCATTTATTTTCTTTTCTTTTCTTTTATTTTATTATTTCCTCGAAGACGAAGGGTTTAGTGGTAAAAATATTTCTTCCTTTTCTCGATACATTCTTCACGACGTAGAATCGCAGTCGGCTGGTGAAGAAAGAATAAAATTTTTTTCATCTGAGAAAATTCGTTTTCAGGGAAATCGATCTATCTATTGTAAATTTGTCGAGTATACTTGAATTTATTATTAACTAATTCCAGACTCGAGACTTTTACATCGATGATCGTCGTGATTGTTCGAAATGAAAATGGCTCGAAACATGAGCCATTATTTTATTTACTTATCTACATGTACATACATATATATATATATATATATATATATATATATATATATATATACTCTCACCAATATCACTCTGAGACTTTTACATTTGAGATAAACAATCATCGTAATTCGTTAAAAACGGACGAGAAGATAATGAAATAATTGCTCGTCAAATCCCCCTTTGTGTCACAAAGAGAACCAAGAATGAGAAACATGATCCATTATTTTATCTGCAGTATTTTATCTACATATACACGTATAATCTAAATTAGTTAAACTCGGAAGAACAATTCTAACAAATAATTAGTTCAGAGTATGCACAATCGTGGCCCATTGCGAAAGACAAAGAGACACCCATGGAAGATGACGTTCGAGAACCGGAGGGAATCTGTGCATAGACGTGGAAACACGACGTCGAAGGTTTCTACTACGGTGAAGGCGATCGAGGTCGTTCGAGCAAGGTTATACACCATTTTCTCCCGTTCGTTGATTCGCTCGCGTACGTTCGTTCCTCCAAACGCAGCGTTGAAGTCGCCAGGCCGAGTTCTTTCGGAATCCTTGGTTCATTCTTCGCGGACGATTTTTTCGAAGGCTATTTCGAGATCGTGTTTGCAAGGTTGCGTCGATCGCGCCACGGTTCCGGGATACTGCAAAACAAGTTGATATTTAACGCGTTGATATTTAAACCCTTTACGATCTAGCCTGTACATACGTACGTATGTGTATTCGATGATCTTCATTCGATGATAAAGAGTTAGTGTCTTCAGCGCGTTCGTAGTGTGTTCAGAGTTCTTTTATTTGATGAATTAAATTAAATCAATAAATTATTTAATAATTATTATAATTATTCTTATTAAATAATAATATAATATTCTTATTAAATAATAATAATATTATTATTTAATAATAATTATAATAGTCGTACAATCGGTATAATGATAAGTACAGTCAATAAATGGTAATAATATAGTCAATAAATTGTTAAGTAAGTAAATTATAAATATAAATAATTATATATTATAAATTAAATAATTAATTTAATTATATATTATATATATATATTAATTATTACTATATATAATACTATATATAAATATTATATATAGTGTATATTAATTTAATTATCTATTATATATATAACATCTTTTATATTTTATATTAATTTTTATATAATTTTATAAATTATATATTTTATAATTTTATATATTATATATTAATTTTATAAATTATATTTATTTGTTTAATAATTTATTGACTGTAACAATAATCGTATTGGCGAATTGACCAGTTGAGGATTACAGACGTGTGTACTATAATTCTACGTTTAAACGCTAGGATAGTTAGATAGTATGTAAAATGACAAATCATCAAACGGTTCGAGCTTGTTCCCATCATAGTTAATTTATGCATGGTCTCTGAAGTTTTTATTCCACCGTCTTTCAGTAGAATAACTTAATTTCTTTAATTTTAAATTTCGTCTTCGGATGGAACGTGAAGGTTCACTAAATATGTTTATAAATATAAATCACTTGAAACGTAATCTGAGTGATTTTACGCTTCACAATAAATTGACCGTCGAGAATAAGATTTTTTTTTTTAACGCTTATCCAAAACACACAGTATGTATCACCAGCTATCTGCGAACGTTATCCAGATATGTATATCGTAATCCCGACATGTGAAATCGATTCATCGGAGACCTTGGTCTTGGAGGGTATTGATTATTTCGAACAGATAAAAAGTGGTACGACAGATAATCATGAATATTTCAGTTGATTATCTCGCGCTCGTTTCCATTACAGTTTCTATACAATTAATCTCTATTGTTTTTTCGTGAATCATTCTGAACAATACGGTAATTACGTATCTTTGTACGATCGATTTCTTCGTGGTTGATAAGAGAAAGCAAAATGTTGAAAAACGAGACTTTTATTAATTTTGGTGTAATTTAGCTATTGCCTCTTAATTAATAAGTTACGTGACAAAATAGAAACAGCAGCAGTCTTCGATTATAAGAATTCTATTGCACAATTCTTAACACTATTTAATGCTATTTTTGACAAAAGCGTTGACACTAGATCCGACAATGCAATAGGTTTCAAATTTATTTTTCTACAACTGCTTGATTACGGTCAAGGTTGATATTGATTTCTGTTTAAACAGAAAAGTGATTGTATTTTAATTATTCTAATTATTTTAATTATCTTAATTATCATTTAAATTACAATGATACCTGTTGAAAACCGGTTATAATATCTCTATAATAGCGTAGTTCCTTCTTGCATTAAGTCCTTCGGTTATACCAAGTCCTTTCAAATTTTACAAGTAGAAACGTGAAATCAGAATTCTGAAATTGAACCAAGACGAAAATATTATAAACCAAGATAAAAATATTGTATATCAACGCGAATAATTAGTAACCAATAATTTTCAAATTCTGAAGTACATTCAAACGTGATTAAATCGACAAAAAAAGGTTCATTAGCTCTACAAACACGCACAATTGAACCAAGAACAAACATATTACACAATACGAACAATTAATGGTGAATAATTTTGAAATTTTCAAATTCTCTCAAAGTGAGAGTGAGTGAGTCTACAAAAGGAGAATCACTAGCTTTACAAACACACGCAACCAAACCAAAACAAAACTATTATTC